TGGAAAATAGGGTGCTCAGGGCTTGGGCGAGGGCAGTCAGGTTGGTAGGAGCCACAGGCAGATCACAAGCCCCACATGATAACTTCGGATAGCACTTACGAAGGAAATGCAGGCGGCCAGGAGAAGGATCCGCACCAGCAGGTCTTCAAACTGCTCTATCACCAACTCCCACAGGGACTTGCCTGGGGGAGAGGCAGGAAGAGGAGGCCCAGGGGTTAAAATCCGGAAGATGACATTCTACGGCTCTGGAGGGGCTGGGGTCCAAAGTCTAGAGTACCCTGGACATCTAGGTTGATGGGTAGCCCAGCTTGGCATGACAGAAAGAGATGAAACAGCCAAAAAGGCTCTTCAAATCTATGGCAATTGCTCCAGGGTAGGGGACCTCAAGGAGAAAGTATCTGGAGACTTCTGACACTATGCTGGGGGGGGGGGAGAGAGAGGAAGGACTCTGGGTCTTAAGGAAGGCAGGGAGCTGGGAGCTTGAGCTGGGAATGAGGCACACAGTGGGCCCAGGTAACTCACCTTCCTCAGCAGGGAGCTCTACCCAGGGAAAAAGAAGAAAAAGACAAATTTAGTGAGGGCCCAGCCTCATAACCTCCACACCCCAAACTCTGTGGCTATCAGAATCAGGCTATCAGAAGGATAGCCGAAGTTCAAGGTCACCCCATGAAACTTCCCCAAACTCCAGATCTTAAAACCATTTCCTTTAGTATCCTCCTCCCCCTGCATGAAACAGACCACACTGCCCTGCTCCTCCTTACAGACCCCTAGGAAGCCATCCCTACTGGTAGGGTTGGAAGAGTGGCCATACCAGCTTCTCCTCTGAAGGAAACTTACCATTGGGGCCGTATTTTTCCAGATGCCGCTTAACTTGGTCTGGGGTAAGGCCTGTGGTCTCGCTCACCCCAAAATAGGACAAACATTCCTCTGTGGACTTGGAGTGTGCGGCCTCCATCGTGCTCCCTTCTTGGGGGCCAGGGGGCGATGTATTCTTTCTTAAGGGCCTCTCACTTGTGGGGGGACTTCTTCAGCGTGTCCACCTGCTTGATGATCTGGGTTTCTTCCTTTTTCTTGACTGCCCCCCCCCAGATTCTTCCTCCTTCCACGAAGTTCTGACCCCAGTCCCACTTGCAGCAGCCGGCCACCCCCCCAGCCCCCTGCTGGTCCTTATGAGGGAGTGGGGGGAGCAGGCTCCCCCTCCCCCCAGATCACGGATTGGCTGGCTGAGACCCCAGCAGGAGGGGTCAGAAGAGAGAGGTTTCTGCTGACAGAGAGAAACAGTGGGGCTGCAGCCTGAGATGTCACTCATAAGGGAAGCAAAGGTGGCCCCAGCCGCCCCCCCCAGGGGGGGTAGGGGGTAAATTCACTTTCTGTTATCTGCTACTGACCCCGCCCCCAGTTGCCTCAACTTCCCAAGTTATACTAAATGTCCAATTCCAAACTCATCCCAACCAAGTCTTTCCTTAAGCCTTCTGGGCCCTTAGAGCTCATCACTCCTTAGACTTTTCCTGTCTTGACCATCCTGAATCCCTTCCTATTGTCACATTCTCCTACCCTGCCTAGTGTGTTCAGAGGACAAAGGAGGAACTCCAAGACTTTGGGGGATCAAAAGAGAGGGGAGAGCATCTTTGGGGGAACAGAGGAAGTAGCTCTAGAGAGATAAGGGGAAGTAGGGAAGGGAGACGGTCAAGGGGACAGGGCAGATGGTAACCTTACCCTAGGGAGGGGTTGCTGCAGCCATCAACAAGGGATTTAGTGTCCAGGCCCTGGTAAGCAAAGCCAGGACTGTCTGTCTCTCTTAAACTCCCCCCCGCCACTGCCGCTTTAGCTCAGCCTCTGGGAACACAGCCTTTAGCTCCCCCTTGAAACTGGCAGGGAATCCCCCATGAAGAAAATGGGACACCCAAGCAGCCAGGTAACCCAAGAGGCTACAGAATGTGCTGATGGCAGAGGGGGAGGGATGAGTGTTTTAGGGTGGGGCAGGGGAATAAAGATCTCCTTATCCCATACAGGCCTTCAACCCCAGGGGCCTCATGGTTAGTCCCCAGAGGTGTGGGGGTCTCAGAAGCTCTGGCCCTGATGCAACAGCCCAATCCCACAGAGGGAGTGAGGATCAGGCCTGGTAGGAGTGCCTGGGAGCTGAGCCTGCCCCTTGCCAGAGTGCCCCTGAAGCTGAGTAAAGCAGAGGCTCCAGAGAGGGAGGGAGAGATGGGTGTGAAGAAATGAGAACAGAATACAGCGAGGAGCAGACACAGCAAAGACTTCCCTGAGTCTGAGGAGAAGAGGGAAAAGAAACAGCAGGGTGCTGGCAGTGGCAGTCAGGTGGGCGGGGCCCCGGAGGCTGGGTGCAAAGCCACAAGTTGTTGCTGAAGGGCTGGCCTGGGTGTCAGCTTCCTGCAAAAAGCAGCTGCTCTGAGCCACCCTTCCCCACCCTGCTTTACCATTGGGGCATCTTCTGATTTCCACCAAGGCAGCTGCTGGAGGAACAGACAGTGTACCTGGGCCAGATGCAAGCAGGGAGGAAACTGAGGCAGAGGAGTTTCCATGGAAGCAGATACTTAAAGGTCAGTGAGGGCTGGCAGCAGTGTAGCCCCTGGAGCACAGGTCCCACCTGTACACAGGCCTCAGTTTCCCTGACAAGAACCAAGGAGCGCTTCCCACAGCAGGATTCCAGCACACAGACAGAATGATACAAACAGCAGAGCCCCGCAGAACAAAGAGAAGACCCCCTCGTTTGGGGTAAGGGCTGTCGAACATGGACAGACAGAAATGAAGGACTGAACCTCAGATTCATCCTGCCTTCTGCCCAGACTTGGGGGAGGGGTGAAGTGAGGACAAGGTGTTCCTTCCTGCCCTCTTTTCACAGTTCCCACAAACCCCTCCCTTGAAGTAGAGTCCTGCTGTGACCCGAGGTGCAGGGGCTCAGACAATGGATGAGAATGTAGGTAGGGTTCACATAAACACGCATCTCTACCTGGCCCAGGACCCTCCATCTCGGGCCAGGGGCAGGCTCAGCAGCCACCGGGGCTTGGGCCCTAGCTGGCTTCTCCCCAGCAGTACCTGGAGGAGTGACAGGGTACTGCCTTCCAGCAGCAGGAATGCCCAAACATGGAGAGGGGGAGTAGGGACATGAGAGCTTCAAAAAAGTTGAGTGAGGAAAGGAGGCAGGCTTTACAGGACACTCCTGCCAAAGAGGCCCTTTGAGGTTATTCATTTCTCCCTCTTCCAGCTTCCCAGAGAGATAAATGAAGGCCAGAGAGAGAAAGCCACCAGCCCAGAGCTGCAGGGAGACACCTTTCTGCACTGTGATCTGTGGCAGGACAGGGCAGATGAGGCGATTCTACAGACCACTTCCCTCCCACTACACCAAAATGGAAGTCGTTCTTGTTCCTGAGTTCTGAGGAGAGGTCTGACTGTGGAGGGCATGGGGGCAGAGCCTGGCCCATCCCTGAATTCCACAAATAAAGACTTACAGGGAGTCTCACTGTCTCCTGGGCTCTTCCAGCCAGGACACAGTAGTCTGGGGGTGTCTTTCGGCCCACCTGAGGATGGCAAGTCCCTGAAGGTGGCAAGGCACTGGGGGAGGGGAGCCTTTGAGCATCAGTTGCCATGAGATTAGGGGAGGATCAGGCCTTCCCACTCTGAGGTGCCATAGCCTTCACTGGCCATTGGCTATCTCTAACAATCTCACTTGGAGAACACAGCACCCAGGTCTCCAGCTGCCTTCCACCCAACCTCCATAACGGGGCCAATTCAATCCCTAGTCAAAGCCAAGATTTGGGGAGCCCCAGGGATAAGGTAAAGCAAGAGCCAGCAGGCTTTCCCCAGCCAACCCCCATCCTAGGTAGCCTGTCAGCTCAGCTGTCTCCTGTCCATCTCCCCATAGAACTGACACAAGGCCCAGAATAGCAAGGTCATGAGCGTGGGTAGGGCCTCCTGGAGGTGGGGCAGAGGCTGAGGGACAGAAGATCGGCTGCTCTACTTTCCCAGGGGAGGGGAGCGGGACAGTGGAGGGTGGAAGGGAGGGTACACAGTAGGTGGGAGTCTTCAGATCTTGCGCTTCTTCTGGAACCCTCCCTTCCCCACAAGCTAGGATGCTCAGGCACCCCTGTTGGAGAAAGCAGTGCCAAGAGATGTATTCAGGACAGGGTCTATATTTACTATGGGAGTTTGGTGGTGACTGCAACTCCATGCCAACCAACAGACTCGGGGAAGTGAAGTAGTAGGGTGGGAAATGTGCAGAAGCTGGACCTTGCAGCTGGAACTTGTGGTTTTCAAGGAAGCCTTGGGACATGAGTGTGAAGGACATGTGTAAAGGGACATTTAGGCCAAACCATGTCAGCAGCACCAACTAAGAGGAAACTTCCCATTTCACAGAGGATGGCAAGGCCTAGAGTTGCCTGCCTGCCTGCCCCTAGGTCCAAACAGCAAAAGAGAGACAGCACCAGGATCGGAGCCAGTACTGTCCATCCAGTCTCCAGCTTGCCTCTGACAAAGGGGAGAATTAGCCTGGCCTTGGGCCCCTCTGCAGCCTGGACTGCTACAGTAAATCTCCCCCAACTCCCTGACTCCAGCACTTCCTCCTGCCTACTTTCTTCCTAGGATTAGAGTTTTGCTCAGAGAACGCTCAGTGAAGCAAAGGCCCTTGCTGACCATAAATCCATCTTTGACTGTCCTGTCCCATTCAAAGAACAAGCTAGTAAGGCGTGGCGCAGTGACCCCTTCAGCGCACAGGTGGCCGAAGCAGGAGGACATGACAAGACAGTCTTAAAAGATACCCTCACCCTGGTAAAACACAACATGCTGGAACCCCAAAAGAGTACTGTTGCGCTCTGCATTGTAACGCTCAGCAAACAAAGGTGACTACAGAGGAAAGGTGGCTCTGAGGGCCTTGGACTAGAGTGTGAAAAGGACTGGACCGGGCCAGCTCTTTGGCTTGGGCTCAGGAGACAGCTTTATCTGCCTGTCCCAGGTCCTACTCCAAACACCAGTCACAGCCATCGTGATGGAACTAAGATAAACCCTTTATTTATTTATGCTTTTCCATTTTGTTTAAAACAACAACAACAACCTTAAAATAACTGACAGCCCTTCCCCCTCACCCTTGCTTGGGTTGGGGGTTATTAGTGGGGAAATAGCCCCCAGGGATGGGGCTGACCATAAGAGCCCCTCAGGGAGGTAATGGAGCCCAAGTCCTTGGCCTCGGGGCAAGGGCACCTGTAGTGTAGTAAATGGGGACTTAACGGGGCTCTTGAGCCTCTACTGTACCAACATACACACCCTTGGCTGACAAGGGTCAGGAAGCATGTGGGGAGGGGACTCCCACTTTCCTCTGTTATCCCTACCCAGCCCAGTCTAACAATTTACAGCTGGGAGCAGGAAAATGGAGGGTGGGCAAGTATCTCTCACACAAAGGAGTACTGGTTATTAATGGCTCGGGGATGGCCCCCTTCTTCTCCGTTGCCCCCTAGTGGTAGCTGCTGGAGCTGCACCATCAGGGACACCCCCAAGTCCCCACCAGAGCCAGCACCACCCTGAGCCTCAGTGCCTGGTGCTATGGCCTCTTCCAATTCAACCATGGGGACCAGCTCAGCCACGGGGACCAGCTCTTCCTGGCCCCCTCCACCGCCCGCTTTCTCTTTCTCTTGCCTCTCTTTGGCTGCTGCGGCTGTGGCTGCCGCCACTTCTGGCGCCCCCGACGCCTCTTCTGCCCCAGGATGTGGGGGATCTGTCCATGGAGGGGGTTCAGGGGGCTGGGTTGGGTCACGGGAGGTGCTCCGTTCTGGATAGGAACGTTAAGAAGACACACTGATTGTGGACGGAACCGAGTTCTTGTGGCCGCCTCCCCTTTGCTTGTCCTCCCCAAGCAGCCATGTGCTATCTCCCCCATATCCCATCTCCTGAGCAACCCCCCTCCATGGAAGATGAATCATGGGCGGTGGTGAGAGGACCACACTTACACACAGTCACTCGCTCCGAAGGGCAGGAGGGTGGAGGAGGCATCGGGGTAGCATCGCTCGCCCTCGCACACCCCTGCATGGCTCCCAGCCTGCTCCCGGCCTGGGGGGAGGGGCAATGTGGGGACAGATGGGATGGTGGGGTGGGGAAAGTGAGAGATCAGACAGGGACATCAGACATCAAGGGAGGAAGGAGGGGAATCAGACCATGAATCCCTCAAAAGGTCAACGACAAGGCCAAGGAGGGTGGGTCCAGGAGACAGACAGCGATGGAGCGGAGGATCGGATGGAATGGGAATGCACCACCCAACTCTCCACTGCCCCCGGCTCCGGGAGGAGCCTCTGCCTGCCTGCCTTCTGTCAGCCTTCTCTGTCCCTTTCAGGCCCCTGCCCAGGCACCCTGACTGCCCTGCTCCCCACTAACAGGGCCTTTCCTCCAACCCCCCACCCCGTCTTCCTGGCACACACACCTCACTTCCTGGGTGCACGGGCACCTCCTCCCCTGCAGACCTGCTCTGCTCACCCTGCTGCCGCTGGGAGGGCACATAGCTGACAAGGACAACATCGCTGGAGCCTCCAGACTCCAGAGGGATGGGGTGCACCCGGAAGTGCTCAAGCATATCGAAAATGGACTGGAACCACAGATGTTGGACCCGGCATTGACCCTCCTCATTCAGTGACAAGCGAAGGTGCTGAGGGCAGGAAGAGCAAGTGAGGTAGGAGTTGAGGCTCCTGTCAGTTATAAATCCATCCTCCCCTGAACAATGGTATTCCCAGATCCACCCGAACACTACCGAACAGAGTTCCTTCAGGACCACTCACCTTGGCCTTGCCCTGGAAGTTGAAAGTGAGGACATATTCACCACGTCTTGTCTCACTCTGACGTACCAAGAAGACACCATGTGAGCCAGGGCCTCCCTCCAGCACTAACTGGGCAGCTTTGAGCCGAGAGAGCATGCCGTGGAACCAAGGATAGCCTGAGAGGGGTTGCTCCCCCTCACCTCCCTCTGACTCCCCCTGGAACAGGAATGACCCTTCAGGAAGAAGAGAGGGAAAAGCACGGTATCAGAGGTTTCTCTCTAGCCTGTTTTCCTCTTGCGACACTTCCTCCCCAGACAGGTCACTAGCTCTTCTCAGGTTCGATCCCTCCAGCTCCAATATAGGACCACAAACCAAGACTCATACACCCAATACCTGTGGCTGCTTCCGGAGTATCCAGGGGAGGGTAGGGGGTTGAGAGGGGATGAACTGTCCCTGCTGGGGGACCCTCTTCGATAGGAATGCGAGGGGGCAATTCTGGAGGAAGCAGTTCCATTGAGTCAAAATGGGAGGCAGCAATAGAGGCAGAACTAGGGGAGAAGGATGCTGACGGCCGGTCTGACAGGCCCCCATAAGCTCCTGAAAGAAAACAGAGGAGGCCAGACCTGAGAACACCACAGGCTCCTCTCCTGCAGGCCTGGGTTCCTGCCATCTCCCAGCTGGCTATTCACTTGTGTCACCAGACCCTGCACACCTGGGGTGACCCTAATGGGTTTTTACAATGATTCTGATTTACGCTGCTTGCACTGCTGAGGGACCACGGTTATTTCAAAGAGATCCTAGAATTCAAATGTGCCTATGTCTTTTCTCAATCAACAGCTGAAAGATTATTGCAGTGGTTGGTGGGGTGAGTGATAGAAGCCCTGAAAAATGTCCTCACTAGAGAGGAGCCCTCAGCCAGGCGCAGTGGCACACGCCTGTAATCCCAGCACTCAGGTAGGCAGAAGCAGGCAGATCTCTGTGAGTTTGAAACCAGCCTGGTCTACAAAGTGAGTCCAGGACAGCCAAGGCTACACAGAGAAACACTGTTTTTCCAAAACAGCAACAACAAACAAACAAATAACAACAACAAAAAAAGAGCCCTCTGTTTAGACTAGGAAAAACTACCAACTTGAAGCACAGCAAAAATTCTTGTCAGGAGGAACATTCCTGTACCAAGCGCTCAGAAGGCTGAGGCTGGAGGCTTGTAGGTCAGCCTAAAGCACACACAAGAACTTCAGCAATAGTGCTTGCCTAGAGAAGAAGGCCCTGGGTTCAATCATCAGTGAGCACAGGAAAAAACACATCTTCCTCTTTCCTATTAACCTTAAAGAGTTAAGTCAAATCAACTTGATTTTTATTTTTACTACCCTGGGAGTTCTTCCCTTTAGTTAATTTAGCCTGTCTACTTTCCAAGCATCCTGCTACTCCCTACGTCAGCTTTCAGTAAGGGCCCTGACTTCCTTGAAGTTACTCTCTTTTCTCACCTCAGCAGAGCATTCTGTCTATTCCATCTCCTTTTTCTCTTTCTCCTGAGTTCCTAGGATGCTCCCTACTTGGACTGCTCAGAGGACACTAAGCAGACTCCCCATTTGGAGACCTGCTTTTTATGTCTTACCAATTCAGCTACAGCAAACCCATGGAGACCAAAGAGCCCATTTGAAACACCTGAGCTCCCCATCCACCCCAGAGCCTAGCCTATAGCCAGTGTTATACTAGGGCATGACTGAACATCTGTCGAACCTCAAGGCCAGGCCAGCAGACATCACCATACTGCTTAGAAGACAGGCATGTCAGAAACTAGGTTAGCATAGCCTATCTTTGTCAGCAAACTCAGGAAATCCATTTCCTCCCTGTGGTCTTGCTAGCTCTAACAAGGTCTATGATAACTCTATGTTGACAGAATGCAGTCTGTGTGCCAGACACCACGAAGCTAAAGCTCAGAACAACAGGTCAGAAGAAAAGGGCAGAGCACAAGCAGTCTAGAGTGAGTTGGGCCAGGCAGATGGAAATCTTTCTGCATGAATGAGTGTTTGATTGGACCAAAAGAAAAGGTGCAAAGGCCACTGACATATGCTGAGATGCATGACATGACTAAAGCAAAGATGTCCACAAAGTATCCTAGAAACTTGCAGAAGAGAAGCATTACTTCCAGACAAGAGTGATGGCCTACAGGAAGGAGGCTGTATGTGAAAGGTTAGGTAGGAGTTTTGTGGGGCCATGCAGGGTGGTGAGAGTAATGATTTTAAATGGCAAACTGTGACCTAAAAGTACATGTATGTCCAGAGACAAAATAGAGGCAATCAGTAGGTTGTAGGTAGAGAGCTAGGGAGCAGGCCCTGGCCCCGCAGCTTGTGAAGACTCGACCTTACCCTGCGACAGGCGGTCGTTACTCTCGCTGGGTCCCAGCAGCAGATCCTGGCTGGGCAGACTCTCTGAATGATTCAGGCAGGGCAACTCCAGGCTGTCTGTGTTATCCTTTGTGAGGAAGGAGGTCCCAGGGGCCAGGGGAAGGGTCATGGGACGGGGGCTGATAGCAGGGCAGGGTCTACAAAAACAGGGAAAATGGTGCTGGGGAAAGTCAGCAGGAGAGAGGCACGGGCTGCCCCCTACCCACGTCCAGATCCCCTTGGGAACAGAGGCAAGCTTCCTACCCTGGGCTCAGGCACTCTTGGATGTCAGACACCCAGGCCTTCACATGAAGTGCATCAGTTGTCTCCAGGATGTACTCTGAAGGGCCTTCTACCTGTGGGACCAAGAGGTGGGGCTTCAGCCAGGGCAGAGGGTAGGAGGCCTACAGGCCACATCCAACCCTGAGGAAAAGAACCTTTCCTGGCATATGTTCCTGCTGCTGCCAGAGACACTTGCCTAAGTCTATCAAGAGCATTTTCTCAAGCACAAGTACTCTCTGGGGGCAGAGTTTGGGGCTCCTACCTTAACCACAAACGTGTTCTCCCTGTCAGGCATCTCCAGGGCCGTGGCTGTGCGGACATCAGTAATAGTAGAACAGGGAATGCTGAGTCGGGGCCGGGATGCCTAGGTGGGAAAGGGATTAAGAATTGGTCTTTTGGTGTGTCAAGGCCAACTGTCCCTCCCTCCATTCACCCACCTTTCCTTCCTAGGTAAAGTAAAAAAGCAATAGCTCTTTGGCCTCACATCTCCCCGTGGCAACTGAGAGCCCACAATTAGCACCGAACCCAGGACAGCAACACTGTGTACATGGGCTAGTCAGTACCATGCTACCTGCCGAGCTGGGCTACCCATGAGCCACTGCTACTTCCTGCTACCCACCCTCCTGTGGGCTCACCTTAGGTGGTACAAAGAACTCCAAGCGGCTCCCTCCTCCTCCTTCTCCTTCACTCCGGAGCAATAAGCGACACCTCTGCCACTGAGGCTGCCCTCCTGCCCCTGAGGTAAGCCCAGCAGCCCCTCCTCCACGACCCACTCCTGCGGGGTCGGGGGCAGCCTCTTCAGCCCCCATGAAACTCAGGAGCTCTTCTCGCTGCACCATTCCTGCTCCATCTTTCAAGGTTCCCCCTCCACGGCTTAGTCTCAGCCTCTCAAAGCGGTGAGTCCATCTCTCCCCAGGGGATGTGCCATCACCAGCCAACGCCCTACCAACTGTCCCAGCACCACCAGAGGAGTTGGAGTTGCTGTTCCCACCTAGAACTGGAGGGCCTGATGTGGTCTCCAGAGGCCCAGTAGGGGAGGGAGAGTCAACGGTCCCCCGCCACTGCAGGATGCCTCGGACAGAACCTCTGACGGAGCGACCCACCGAACGGAGGGAGAAGCGTTTCTTGAGCTTCGGCTTTGAGGATGTTGTAGAGGAAGAAGAGACTGAAGAAGGGAGGGGCCCAGCCAGGTCCTCAGAAGATCGGGAAGGGCCCAACACTGCCAGGGGTCCACCCACCCTGCAGCTCTCAAGGGACAAGTCATGGGCTGGTGCAATATCCACACCAGGGCTCAGTGGGGCCAAGACAGGTGGGGAGAGTGAGCCTGAGGCCCGGGCCACCTCAGCTTCGAAGTGCTGCAGGAAGAGCTCAGCAAACCGGCCGGAAAAGGCAGCCTCTGCTCCGGGCTCTGCATACTGCGGGTGGGAGGCCAGGTAGAGGCGAAAACGGCGGGCAAGATCCAGGGCAGCAGCCCTTGCATGGGACTCACAGAATTCTTGCCAACTTGGGGGAGGGGGTGGTGGCAGCGCTGGCGGAGAAGGGAAGGCCCCATCCTCCGGGGAAGGGGCACCATTCATGATGGGCCCCAGGAGGAGGACAAGAGGAGCCTGTGTGGAGGGGCAGCAAAGAGGGAAGCAGCCAGAAGACACGGGGTGAGCGGCAGCAGCTGTAGAAGGAAGAGAGAGGCATACATATTGAGTCACTGGAGAGGCGACAACAGGTTATGTACATACAGACCCCGCCGAGGGCAATGGGGCAAGAGAACTAAACTGCTTTGCCCTCTTCAAGATCCACACTCCACATCTACCTCAGGGATGAAGGATGCTAAGTCCAGTGTCCAACCCGCATCTTTCCTCCTGCCTTTGCCACCGCTCTCCCTGTTGTGGGATCCGGGAATGAAAGCATCTCACCTCACAGACGGCTCTTACAGATCACCACTGTCCCTTCTCTAACGTAAAGCCTTCCCTAACTTTCACACACTTTCCATATGCCATTCCAGAGGGTTCCACAAGGTCATGATACCTTTCCTTAGAGAACTTAGTAACCTCTTACAGATGAGGAAATGGAGACTCAAGCAGGTCCCAGAATTAGAGTTTGCGGTATGTACCATTACATAGTTGTACTCTCCAGGGACTTGCTGGACCAGACTTCCACTGTTCTCAGGGGGCCAAATGGGTGCAGGGATTACAGAGTCTACAGACTCGGCCTCACAGCTCCAGTACGTGGAAGATGAATTGAAGGAGCAGCTGTCTTCAAAGCTTATCCTACAACCTAGCACTTAAGCCCTGTGTGGAGCCTCGGATTGGCTGAAGACCAATCTCTGGGTTGCCCCCTTCAGTCCAGGCCTGACTGGTAGCAGCGCTAGAGAAAAAGACGGTAAAGACGGTGTGTTGAGTTAGGGCAAGTCTTAACTGGCCACATAAGTAAGACATCACAAGGAGCTGGGGCTCAAAGATTTTCCTCTCCCTGAGGAGTATGCCTGTGAGACTTGGACTGAAGCCACAGCTCAGCCCACCTGTTAGCTGTGTGAGCCCAGCTTTTGAATCTGAGAAATACAGTTAATAATCTCTAACCGCTACAGTTGTCAGGAGAAATGAAACGACAAGGAACATGTCTGTGCTTGACACAAAGGAAGCACACAAGACATGACTGCCATCTTCACTATTTTTAATAGGGAGGATAGTATCGTGGGTCCCCCGTTTGCTCTAAGAGAAACTCGAGGAACGAAGAGCTTCTGAAGATGTCCCAACTCTTAAGTCACAAGTAAAAAGTGACAGAGTTCGGTATGTAATTTACAACCAGTGGCTCTTCGGTGAGTGGTCCCGCCCTATGATAGACCGAAAAGTGACATCCCCGGACAGTTCAGGAAGGTCTACCCTAACTATCAGTGATGTCAGCCTCCTCATCAAACCTACAACCAGGCTGTAAGTCAGGGACTCCGACCCTTCTTCTTCTGCCTAAGCCCTACACACTCCGCTGGCTCCGACCACACGGACAATTCCAATCCGTGGAGAAGTAGCCAAGAGATGCGGGAGTCACAGAGCACAGGGGAACCGGGCCAAGAGGTGCAGGCACAGCACAGACAGTCCCCAGCCAGAGGCCACCTCGGCTCACACAGGCCCACCCAGCCCTCAGCACTACTGGCCGACCCAGCCCCGTTCAGCCCGCTGACCCTGCGGTTCCTGGACTGGTGACTCAGTTTCTCTTCTGCCAAGAAGGCTCAGTCACAATTTCCCGGTGCACCTGCCTCTTGGCTTAGTTCTGACATTCCAGAAGGGCGGGTGGTGGAGGGTGCAGGCTGCGCTCCAGGTTTGGACCCTCCGGGCCCCGTGGTCAATCACTCAGACCCGATCCTATTTGCTGGACACCCTCTCCATGGCCCGGGGCCGGAGCCTCCGTGGTCGCTAACCCTATCGGCTGCCCTCTCGGGTGCCAAGCACCCCTCCAGCGCCGAGCCCCCACGCCCACCCCCGCCCGGGCTCCTGAAGCGCCAGGGTCGAGTGCCGGAGAGGGAAGAGGCACTTGAAGAGGGGGGTTCCGGTTCCGGTCCCACCTGCATCTCGGTCCCCGCGCTTAGCTCCGGCGGCAGCGGCGACGGCCGCAGCTCCCGCTCCCTGTGCCCCCCGCCTCCGCGACGAGCTCCCAGAACGCGCTTCTGCGCAGGCGCCGGGACGGGTTTTCCCGACGCGGAAGGAAGCGACCATAGAGAAGAGGGGTAAGAGGAAGGGCACCTTCGTGCTCACTTCCGCCATCGTTCTCGGCGCCGCGCTTTCGGGAGCGAGGACGGTGTGGCTGTCACCGAACTCCCGTGGCTCCCGCAGTGGTGCCTAAAAGGGACCACTGAGGCAGCCTTGGGGAGGCGTTGGGTCCCAGCCGAGACAAAGGCGGGACGTCAACCATAGAGAAGCCGTTTGAGCGGAGAGAGTAGCCGCCCAGCACGGGAAATCAGCGAGATGATAAGGTTCTTCCAAGAGCTGGCTGCAGCCTAGAGCGCCTGGCCCTGCAACTGAGGGGTACACGGACACCGCCCCCCAGGGAGTTGGGCGAGCAAAGTAGCGGTGACCTTGGGAGGCCAGAGTGAGCCGATGGAACCTGAACTTACGACCTTGGCTTTTCAGAGAGAGGGGTTCCACCTTAGATTGGGAACTAAAGATGGGGCAGCAGTAGGGAGCTCAGTTTTGGATGTGCTTAGGATGCTTAGGAGGTACGTAGGCGTAGAGCTTGAAATTCCAGAGAGGCTTCAAGGAAAGTTACAGGGATGAAGGAACTGAAGGTACAGAGTGCTGTTGAAACCTTGCATACAGATACCGTCTAGCAAGCCAGGCTCGCAAATGATGCAGCTTCACTGCGGCTTAAGTGATTGAAAAGACCAGAGTAGATTGGGGTCGTTGACAGGGGGAAAAAATACCACCCATGTGTAGTTCGCCATCTGTGATTGTAGTAGCCTCGTGCATCTGCTTTCACCCACAAACAGGCTCTCGTCTCTTGTCGGCAAGTTGGTTTTCCACATATTCAATTTTAAGTCCTAATAGTTTAACAACTCAGTTTAAGGAGAGCATACCTCATTTCTGAGATCTCCAATAAAACTTCCTGAACTAAGCTAGTGAGATGACTCTTGAGTAAAAAGTCCTCGTGTATGCTATGAAAGCCAGAGTTCACTCCCTGGGACCCACTGTGGAGAGAGAAAGGATGTTAGAAGGTTTCTTCTGAGTTCCACCATGCCGCACACGCTTATGACCCTGCCATCATATATACATACTCGAAATAGTAATAGAATTTAAATAAGTTGGGCTGCTGAAAAGAAAGCTAAGTGAGTAAGAGCACAGGCTGCTCTTGCAGAGAACCAGGTTCAGTTCCCAGCACCCACATGGTAGTTCAGAACTGACTGTAACTCCAGTAAAATAATATTAAATAAAAAAAATTTTGAGATGGGCAGTAGTGACCCATGCCTTTAATCCCAGCACTAGGGAGGCAGAGGCAGGTGGATATCTTGAGTTCAAGGCCAAGCTGCTCCATAGAGCAAGTTCTAGGACAGCCAGGACTACACAGAAACCACGTCTCAAAATGTAAATAAACAAGCAAACAAATTTAATTAAAAATTTCCAGTGCCGGGCTGGAGAGGTGGCTCAGTGGTTAAGAGCACTGTCTGCTCATCCAAAGGTCCTGAGTTCAGTTCCCAACAACCACATGGTGGCTCACAACCATCTATAATGAGATCTGGTGCCCTCTTCTGGCCTGTAGGCACACATGCAGGCAGAACACTGTAAACATAATAAATAAATCTTTAAAAAAAAATTTTTTTTCCAGCTCCAATCAGCTGACTGGATCAGGTGCCATCCTGAATCTTAGAGGCAAGTGACCTAGAAGATGGATATTGATAAATGACTTGTCTCACATAAAGGAGGTTTATGAAAGGGTGCTATCCTGCCCCCATGGCATGAGAAAATTTTAGAAAAAAACAAGTTCTGATGTAGTCACTCTTTTGTTTTTTAAAATATTTTCTTTAATGTTACGTAATAAAGGTGCGGTTTGCCTGCATGTAAATGCACTATGTATGTGTGCTCGGAAACCAGAAGAGGACATCAAATCCCCTGGGTTTTTAAATGAAGTTACTCATGGATTCGAACCACCCACCATGTGGATGCCAGGAATTAAATCCAGGTCCTCTGCCAGCAGCAAGTGCTCTTAACTGCTCTTAACCACTGAGCTCTCTCTCTCTCCAGACCCTTGGCTTAGCCAATCTTAAATCACACAGGGTGTAACCCATTGCATCAGCTCAGGGATGCCTTTGTTGAAGTTTTATCACCAGCATTATTCAACTCTTCTACCACTTCAAACGAAGAGACAAATGAAGGGGATCCCTTTTCTGTGGTCACCTCCCATGTCCTTCCACATCATCTTCCCTGGAGCTTATCTATCCATCATCTAGGACAGACCTGGTTCAAAAATACAGAAGTGCAAGGGGCTGTTAATAAGTTTGGATATGTTCTGCTAAACTGTCCACCACTCCCCTTTTGAGGTGGGGCAGGTGCTGAGGACCAAACCCAGGTCCTGGAACATACTAGATATTTTACCACTGATCTACTTCCCAACACTCAATCAAAATTTCTGAAACGATTGAAGCAATCTGCTACTGTATTCACTTGATCCCAGGCATGGTTGAGGTGTTCAGTGAACTAAAGTTTTTCATTAAAATAGCCATCTAAGCCTTCCATAGTGACAAATACCTTTAATCCCAGCAGGCAGTTCAGTCTCTGTGGTCAACCTGGTCTACATAGTGAGTTCCAAGACAACCAGAGCTATGTGGTGTGAGACGTTGTCTCCGAAACAGAACAAAACAAAACAAAATATAGTTACCTGTAGTTAATGGCTACTGTATAAGCACAGGAAGTGTCCTTGTGCAAGTAGACGAAGCTGTCTGGTAGAACTGAGAGTCATAGTTTGAGTTACACAAAGCAGTTTGGTGGTCAGGCATTGGACATGAAAGAGACGGGGCCTAGGACATCAGTAGAACAGTAAACATTTAACAGGTAGTCAACAAAGGATTGGAAAGTGCTAGGTTGTATTGCCCAGGAACATTAGAATGAGATTTGTATTCTTGTGATTTGTTGAAAGAGAGGAGGAGGGTGTAACTGGTCTTTGTGGGTTCTTATTTTTTCCATCCTTTATCCCCTTGGTTTCAACTTCCTAACATAAGGTAGGAGAAAAACTAGGATAGAGGGGAGAGAGGAATTAGGAAAATTCCTTGTTGACACTTTTTTAATTTTTTTTTGTGTGTTCCTTAATGCTTCTCTTACATTCCTACCTCTCTTCCAACCCTTATCCACCCTAATACCTTCCAAACCCCAGCACCAAGTAGGAGAGAAAGAATGTTAGTGAGGAGAGAGGGCATAGTTCTTTTTTCCTATTTCCTGCCGGTGAGGGTTGTTAGGTTCCTTAGACAAGTCCAATCTTTATTTCAGGATATCTCCAACTTCTTCTTGTCAAACTGCATCAACAGTAACCAGGAGCAGCAGTGAAGGAGGTATCAGCATCCCTCTTCTTTCCCGGAGGGCTCCAACACTCTCTGGGCTCTGGCATTTATTCTTTAGAGTCCTCAGATTTAAACTATCTACAGCTGGGAAAGAGCCCCTCTCAGAGCCTGCACCAGGCAAATAGTTGGCTGCTGTGGACAGTCTGAATTAGCCTCATTTCCCACACCTGAGATTAAAACCAAAACATGTTTACATAATATAGCTGAGTTTTAAAGACACCAGACCTTCAGTTGGTATGGTATGGGTTTGTCTTTGATGACCTATATCAATACCTTTCTCAGAAACATTTGCAATTTCACTCCTTATTTCATGTCACTGGGATTGCAGGAACATTAATCTGAGTACCCTAGTGTTGTAAAAGATCCCCATAAATTTATGGAGAGGTCTGCCACATAAGGCCTTAACTTTCCGATTTGACCTTCTGGTCACACACATTTAACCCAGTGCGCACTTTGTTTTATCAGAGATAACATTCCAGTTCCTAGAAACTCGGTATAAACCTATTGAAGTGGCCATTCCGAATTTCAGGATTTTTGTGAAATGATAATTACATCAGCTCCTGTATCCATCAAACTTTTTATTTCACTACCATTTATTGTAAATTTAATTTTGGCCTCTGATCATTAACGACTATTTGCCAGAACACACATTTTCCAGTACTTTCCAAACCCTCCTGTTTTTTCCACAGGAGCAGCTTTGTCTTTAGTGTAGGGGCATGGGAGCAGCTGCACCTGCATTAAATTACATCACTCTTTTTACATAATTTTAATTCTTCCTCTGAAATCTTCATTTAGAAATGAAATATATATATATATATATATATATATATATATTTTTTTTTTTTTTTTTTTTTCTGGCTTCTTGAAAATATCCATTTCTTTTCCTCCTGCCGTTTTCTCTACAGCATTTGAAATCAAGTCTCCCATTTTTTTTTTCTTTTATGGGGCCCCATGCTAAGCACCACTAGTAGCTGGTCTTTGCTATTTTGTGGGCTCTTCTTTTTCCCACCTTAATTCCCCCTGGTTTCATTCTCTAATACCAGATAGGAGAGAAACAAGGATAGAGGGGAGAGAGGAATTAGGAAAATCTCTGAATCTACATTCTTTCCTTTTGTGTCTTCTTTGACCCCAGCTACTAACAAACTGCAACCACTCTCCCTAAATGACCAACAACCCCAGACTCTGCTTCTCAGAGCCCTCACATTTACCTACCATCTGAGACATTCCCAGAATTCCAAATGTCACACAGTTGCAGAAATTATCTGCAACTGGCAAAACCATACTTCTGTAAGAACGAGGCAAACCATAGTCAGCTGCTGCAGACAGTCCAAAGCAGCCCCACACCCTAACACCTTGGATTAAAACAAAAACACAGTCTTATAATAATTCTGTTTTTTTTTAAAGAAACCGAAATTCCAGAATGCTTGCTAGATGTGGATGTGGGATAAAGGGAA